AACTGCAAAAATAAATAAATAGCCGGGTGTTGTAGCGGGTGCCTGTAGTCCCGGCTACTTGGGAGGCTGAGGCAACAGAATCGCCTAAGCTCAGGAGTTGGAGGTTGCTGTAAGCTGTGTGATGCCACTCTACCGGAGGCAATAAAGTGAGACTCTGTCTCTACTAAAACACACACACACACACACACAAAAGCAGGACATCATGCTGGGTGCCTGTTGTCCCTGCTACTGGGGAGGCTGAGGCAAGAGGATTGCCTGAGCCCAAGAGATTGAGGTTGCTGTGAGCTATGATAATGCCACAGCACTCTACCCAGGAGACAGAGTAAAACTTGGTTTCAAAAAAAAAAAAAAAAGTTACACAATATAGGGGGAAAAAATAGTTTGCAACCTAGTCAGCAGCCACTGTGGCATGAAATGGAGTCAGGGCTAGAGACTTGTGGGAGACCTGTCTTCTTTGGCCAGAAATCAGAAGTCTGTGATGGGTAAGAGAGTCACTGAAGGAAGGCAGCCCAGCCTTACTCCTTTGTGGGAGCCCTCGGTTCAGGCAGCAAGTCCACTTCACTTTTGTAAAGAGGAGGGTGTCTCATATGTTATCCAGGCTGGATTCAAATGATCTTCCCGCCTTGCCATCCCAAGGCTCTGTAATTACATAAGTAAGCCTAGCTTATGTACCCTAGAAGATTCTGTATCATCTCTATTTTTACAGTCCATAAAACTGAGTTTCAAAAAGGTTCAGGAAGTTGGCCAATGCCACTCAACCACCAAGGCAGAGCAAGGATTCTAGCCTGAGTCAGGCCACGTTCAACAGAACACGGAGGTTCAGAGTCAGGTAAACACACCAGGACCATCTAACATCCTCACTCATACACCTGCCCACAAGAACGCACACACTCAGATGTACATGAATAAAATACTCTTCCTAGGGGATTCAAGGGTGTGACCAGAAGCACAGCGGCCCAGCGGCCTTTGGAAGTTAACGTCGCGAGAACCCACGGGAACGGCTCCTGAGAACTACAACTCCCACACTCCCACCTCCCACTGCCTCCTGGGATTTGTAATTCTACCCAGAACCCCGTTCGGCTAGCCATTAACTGCGGCCAAGGACTCCGTATCCCAG